CCCGGGGACACCCGCGCTTCCGCTTCCGCCTTGCCGCGCGGCGCATGCGCACGCCGGTCCGGCCCCGCCCCTTCCGGCGGCCCCGCCCGCCCCAAGGAAGCACCTGCCAGTCTGTTTAAAAGGTGTTTATTGGTCATATACAAAATAAAGAAAACCTCATATATCACAAACATACACTATGTACAGCAATAAATACCCGGGGGGCCAGGCCCAGTGCCGCCCCTCCTGGACAATAATTTAGCAATAAATACTGCGCAGGGCGGGGGTGGGGCCCCAAGGCCGCTGCCCCGCCCGCGGCCAGGCTTCCGACTACACCCTACCCAGGGCCGGGGCGCCCGGGCCTCACCTCGCGCCCGAACCCCAGCCCCCCTCACTCAGATCTTTAACAACCCCCACTGCCCCCACCCGACCCCAGGGGACAAGCACACACCGACCTCCCCTGGCTCCAGCCCGAGGCAGGGCAGGCAGAAGGGATCAACTCTGCTCCGACCCACCTCTCAGTGCCCGGAGCGCAGCAGAGCTGGACACACTGGCAGCCCTTGTCCTGTCGCCCTAGTTGCCAGGAGAAGGCATTCTGTACCCACTCCCGTTCAGTTAAAGGCTTCAGGGACTAGAGATGGAGGGGATGGGAAGAGGAGCAAGGCTGGGACACCAGGTTGCTGGAGGAGCCAAAGCCCAACCAGGGTCACTGAGAACAGGGAGGTCTCACAGTTAACCGAGGACCACTCTCTTACACTCCAGCTCAGACTCGAGGGACACCCATGGTATCAAAGCTGCTGCTGCAGTGGTGGGGTGGAAATGTGTGTGACTGGTCCAGCAGGTACAGCACACGCCCAGGAGACACAGGCCAGAAACAGGACAGGCTGTCAGACTCGTGGGCACATCCTTGCTTCTGTGTGGCACTGATTATGCCCTCCGCTTTCCCCACCTGCTCTAAAACCAGACAGCCAGCAGGAAGGCGAAAACACACCAGAAAGAACTGTTCAGTGGCTTCTGGGGGAAAAAGTCGTTAATGTGTTGGTTCCCTTCACCAAACCACAGCCCAAAAAAGTAACGCACAAGATCCCGGAGCGGAAATGGTGCAGCAGGCTGTGGTTCAGGTTTCCCAGTTGTGGATGGGAGCTTTGGCCAAGCAGCCACTCCAAAGAGGGAGGCAGCAGGGACATGCTGTCGCCTGACCACCATCCCAGAGCAGGCTGTAGCCACCCAGAGCTGTGGCTCAGCATTGACCATAAAGGCTGCTGCTGATGGTCAAGGTGTACAAACAGACCTGAAGCATGGGCCAAGTGCAGAAGCCTGCAGGGAGGGCTGGTGTCTGGCAGAAACCCCAGCATATGACACAGAGCAGCCACGGAGCAGTGCCATACTGCAGAAGCAGCCAAGGGCCAGGGGGCAGTCTCCCCGGGGCCATACTCTTTGGGCAAGAGCTGACCTGTTCCTGCTGGTTTTTTCTCTGAAATCTCAGTGCCCATGTTGGGATAAGGGAGTAGTTGGGCAAAGTCAAGGAGGGAAGTAAGACGCACATTATGGTTTACTTAGCGGACAAGTTTGGGAGACCTGGCCGTAGCCAAAGCTCTCGATTCGCTGTGTCAGAAAAGTTGAGGAGAGAACACAACACCCTCACAGTAGGAAAACCGAATTAACAGAGCAGAAAGACAGCAAATAGTCACATGTGGACACAAGGTCTACTGTCAAGAAATCAAGGTGAAGGGGAAAAGGAGTGGAGTGGCCTGCAGGGCTGGCTCGGTGGGGAACTGGAGCGTTCCCCCAGGCCTAAGGAACAGCTGCTCTGAACCCAAAAATCTTGAAAGGGAGCATGGCCTCATCAACTCCGGAAGCTTCTTCCATAAACTAAACCAAGGACCTTCCACTTCTGTTCAGCACGTGCCCATCCTCAAACCCTCCTGCTCTTCCCCATCCACTTCCTCCCTCTGCTCTCTACCTCTGCAACCTGGCAGGAGGGCTCAGAGACAGACAACTACCCCCCAGCCAGGACGAAAGTGGGGGCCGTACAAAGACATGGAAGTCCTGTCCCTCCTGCCTCAAAGCAGGTCATGACATTTCTTAAGGGGTGCTTGATACGATCCCACTTCCCTGCTGTTACAACCAACATCAGCGACTCTCGTCTGGATTCTAGACTACACCAGCCTGTGAGGAAAAGGATGAAGTCCCTAAGTGACTTAGTCAACAGTCAAAGCTTTCCATTTATGGGCCGGCCTGTGGCTCACTCGGGAGAGTGCGGTGCTGATAACACCAAGGCCACGGGTTCGGATCCCATATAGGGATGGCCGGTTG